CCGTTCTGTGATTCTATGATCCAGTGCTATGCATATGCACTCCAACGTGCTCAGACGCAGTGTCCAACACCAGCCCCGGGCATCGCATTTGCTACCTCATTTCAGGCAGTGGGTGATGCAGATGCTCCCGAGCAGGAGCAGCACTGCATGTCGCCCATTCACAGACAACTAACGCAGCACAGTACAGAAAGTTACGGGCATCAGCCACAACTAAAAGGTTCCTTTCCTTGCGGTAGCCTTGGAACGTGGTGGTGTGAAGCACAGCTAAGTGCTCAGAGCAAAAGCACCGGGTCTGGTGGTTGGGGGTTTTGTTGGTGTGGGTTTTTAACTGCTTTCCTAGTGCAGCCCCTGGCTGCCACATCCTGCCTTGAGCTCTGCTCTCCACCCCTAGAAGCTGCTGCCTGTACACTCAATCTTTGATGAGTTATCCTTAAACAAGCATGAAAAGTGTTGGTGTCTCCACCTTCCCTAGCACCTTCTCTCCCCTCAGAAAGGGCGAGACGGACAGCTCCTTGCACAATGCCACACTCACAAGAAGAAAACAGCAGAAAAAAAAACTTATCTGCGTTTCCTTTGCATGGAACAAAGCTTGCTTTTACAGTCTGGCCAATAAAGGACTCAAAGTTGTCTTTCAGAGATGTGTCAAACTGTGTTGCAGCTTTGGATGAGTTAGAACACTAACCTACATGCCTCTCAGCATCATCCACATCCCTGCGTGCTTGTGAACGTGCCCAGTGAAATACCTCTGTACTCTGTAAGAAAACTAGGACCTAGAGTTAAGTTTGGGTGACCCTTAACAGCATCACATTGGTTAAACACTGAACTCAACTTCTGAGAGGCATGCTGCAGTATTTAGGGAGAGGATGCCCAGAGTAAGGCCAATCTCCTTCACCATTACTGAAACAAGCTTTCTCGCATTCCAGCTCGCTGCTACATCGAAATAGGCCACAATATGCTCAGCATGATGTGGAATCAGTTATCAAACAACATGAGTTTTTTTAAGGTACACCTTAAATAAATGACAAGGTAACAACTCATCAAGGTCAGCTGTCACTAGGGAAGCCATAAAATATGATTCTAGCACATTCCAGGAACCAGATGCCAGCTTGGAAATAGGACAGTATCATCAGTACAAAGCATCTGTGTGCCACTGCAGTGGTAAAAAGGAAAGGGCTGTCTCAGGCTAATCACAGCTTCCTGATAAACTACTTCAAGTATTACTCAATACAGCAAAATTCAAAGATGGTTTTTGAATGAACGCTAGGCCTACAGCTGACTACCTTCAAAGCACAGCAGTAGCACAAGACTGCTGCTACAGGGATACGCAGTTGCGCGTAGGCTTTCAGCGCTGCATTGTAGCGAAAGCTAAATTCAGTCCTTGACGACACACGGCAGTGGGTGATTTTCAGGAAGGCACAGCAATTTTAAGCACATCAAAAACTCTAGGTCTTCCTTGTTTCCATCCAGCCTTTCCAGAAACGCTACTAAAGTTTTAGTCGTTTCCCATAGTATGGGACCGAGTTACATCCGTATGACCTAGTGGCACATTCACACAGCACTTATACCCACCGAAGCACCAAGGTCACGATGTGAAACTACGGAGGTTACTTCGCTCAGAGCTGGTTATCATTTCAGTCTGCAACTACAGAATTGCACATCCCCTCTTGTTCAAGCACTCCAATTGATAGTCCCTAGCAAACACCCTCCTCTTTCTCAAGCAATCAGGAAAGCAGTCAGGCTCAGAACAATGCCAGGGAGGGGTTAATAACAGCCTCCCTGGAACCAGACTGCAGTCCCCCCGCCCCCCAGCATTACCAACTTTGCTCTTGGAAAGAGCAGCACTAAGCCTTACAGGCTGTTGCAAGTGGAACACTCCAGAAACACCTTTGTTCTTCAGCTTTAAGGGGAGAACAGGGTTCAACACACACAGAAAACGTGACCTGCACGAGGATTCTTTTGAAGACGATTCTAAAACTGATCGGTATTGTTGCACATACCAAATGCAAAGTTAATACTGTATTTAGGAGAGCCAACGTAATTCTTCAAACCTTTAGTTCTCCCTCATTCCCTACAGTGTTTCGCAATTCCAATGGAAAACAGCTCTTATCTCCAGAAAAGTTGGCAGACAGTTCCCTCTGGGATTGCTCACATTAAAGACAGTTTACAAGTAAAATTCCAATCGACAGATTTTATTTATCAATTTGGTTTTGCGATTACAACTGTTTCCGTTTTCTTCCACCGAAGACAAAATACAAACTTTTACAGCAACACTTGCAGAGAACATTCATAAGATAACAGCTTGGTATTTGCACAAGTTGGCTTCGGGAAAAAGCCAGGTAACTTCAAGAGTCACTACAGTTCAGTGCCTAAAACCGATTTAGGGGCAAACGCAACTACAGATCTATGAGCTACCTTCCACTTCAAAACACAAGGCCAAGAAAAACTTCAAGTTGTTACTTCAGGTTTTTTTTTTTTGCTAGTACACAACGGATCAGCTGATACTGCCATGTCATAAAGGAGGAGTTACTTCCTCTAGTGAGGCAGCCAAGCACATGGTGAGGATGTATAACCCAGCCTCCCCTCGCCCCCAAACAAAGGGAAGGGAAACAATCCAAGCCACAACTGCAAACTGTGGATTATACCTTGTTGGCAAGACTAAGGAGCAAGCGGTGCGCGGTGCAGGCCTTCCGGAACCTGACTAAATTGATGGAGTACAAGCTTGAGTTCTTCACATCCGCATCTGTACGTGTCAGAGATCCTGGGTTTCCTAAGTCTTGGAAAGTAGCAATTGCTGGCACCAAGAAAAATTTAGTAACTAAGGCAAGGTATCCTTTCTACCGTTTTAAAGAAAATTTGAGGCAAAAGATTAAGCAACTTTAAGGCACTTTAAAAATTATTTTTAGTTTGCTTTACCAGCACACTTTATCAGCAACCTAAATGATGATCAGCATAGCTCATGAACAAGCATGTTAGCAAGATTTTACAGAGCAGCAACTCTTTTGTGGCAATGTTTTCCATGCTATGCAGTGTTCTGCAGCACTTTTGCATGAGTTTCCCCAAAAGATAGCCCTTTGAGGCGAAAAAAAAAAAATGATATACTAGGCATACAGTTTGGTTTGCTGAAGGAGAACTCTGTCACATTTTAGAAGAGTATTTAGCTCACTTCAAAGCACAGAACACAAGCTCATGTATATCTTTTTCAACAAATAAATCTAATAAACTAGTTTTGAGATAGGGAAAGGACAGATGAAGTGATTTCACAATAAGGCCAAGGATATACCATCTAACCCACACACTTACTGTTGGTGGAAACTGGCTGCTCACTCTGCTGTTTTAATAAACCTGAGCTGATTGTCTTCGTTTTGTTTAGAAAACCAAAAGCTAATGAACTCAAAGACACAGTACCAGTAAGTTCTACATTTTGTAGCAACTGGAGTTTTCTGTGCAGCAAAACAGAAACCATGCCATTCAAACTAGAACACAAGAAAGCAACACTCTGCACTTCAAGTATCCAACCCGAGTGCACTTTATTTGCTTCATATTTAAATTCCACTGCCATGACTATTATCTGCATTAATGCTATCGTTTTGTATTGGGTACCAAATTCCAGTTGACTCAGAGCTAGTAAGGCAGTACTACAGATTATCCTCAAACTGATGATCGAGGGATATCATCAAAAGTTTTATTGTGTGCTGCATCCAACACTATCTTCTATTTTTCCTGTGGGTTTATTTTCACATGTACTCAAGTCAATCCACATTGGAGATGACACACCCTTTGATATTCAGATCACATGGCCAATCCAGCCAAGGAAAAAAAAAAAACCACCAAAACAAAACCCACCACCAAACACAAACTATTTGGCCAAATAGATTTCCTTAACCAGTTCACCCCAGGGTGACACAAACCTGATGCCAGGAAGAGGGAAGGGGAAACAAAAAAGGCGTAGACCTGGCAGCCCCAAGACTACATCAATCCTGACTAGGATTAAATCGGATCCTCTGAACTACCATCAATCGCTCCTTCAGCAAGGGGATATACAGGAGGGGAAAAAGGGGAGGAAAAAAAAAAAAAAGGCAAAACTGAAATGAACTACAACTAAGAACCATTTGAATAAGAAAAACCTCAGTACTTCCCAAACACCAGTATTTCAAGTATAAATGTAAGTCATTGCCTTTCTACACAGGGAGTGAACTGGATTGTATGACTAGTTTTATGGTTGATCGTTGTAGGCCAGAACGAAAGGTCAGCAACGTAAAGCTCTGTTTGTAGCTGAACATTACCATACCATGCTCCCCCACCCAAGGTCGGTAATGGACAGGTTAGTGTACAAGGTTTTAAACCGGAATGCTCAATGTCATATGTATTCCACACTCCTATATAAAGCTAGTACTTACTAGTTTCATGTATCTTGGATAGTTGGGACGCTTTTGCGGCCTACTAATTTTGAGTCTTTTAAGGCACTAATCTTCATTTCCCCTTTAGAAGGATTATCCCTACCTCCCCTCTCCACCTTCAATGTTAGCTGGAAAGGACATAGGATTTCTGTTTGGAATGCAGTATTTTATCATCAGGCAACCTTTATTCTTGTGTAAAAAGAAAAAAGTTTCAGGGCTATGTTATTCTATGAAGACATGATCTACTTCTACAATTTTGTTCATCTTTCCAGCAGCATGCTGTAAGAGCTGTAAGCCAGGATAAATGGTATTTCACTCCCTGAAGTCAGTCACCAATAAGTCACATCTTGATAAAACTGAAGGGATACTGTATCAAATGTTGATTAAATTAGCCTTCACAATAAGTCATCTGAGATTGTCTACTCAAGACAGTGTTGCCACTGACTAAGAATCTCTGAACGTCTACATTTGGCATATCAAAAGAAAGTCCCACAGCAGCAGCCACTAAAGGAAAATAAGACAGCCATTAGAACCCATGCAGCATATTGCAAGTAATCCTGTTGAAGAGATTCGTATCGCCTCTTGCCAAGTATAATGTCGCAAAAATATTCTTTTAAAGTCTTCTTTTAGAGATTTAAAGGATATTATTATGAACTGCTGTCTTCCACGAGCAACAGAAAATATTTTGGTTCAGTGAACTACAGGTGTCGGGCTACTAGTCCATTGTAAAGTGGCAGGTCCTAAAGCGTGTGATAGTTTCGGTCTTTTGACTTGCAGAATTTGTACAGAAAGAAGACAACAGCCTGCAGACCCAGAACAAGGACTATTCCACCTATGAAACTCGCAGCGTCAAACGTAGATTTGCGTGAAGAAGGTGCAGGAGTCACAGTCGCATTTGTACCTGTTAAACATCACATTAGAGGTTGTGAGTGCACAACGCTCGCAACAGTTTTACAGATTTTAGGACTGGCTTCCGTGTGTTAATATTACTCAAAGCGTCCAAACACCGACAAGAAAACAAAAAAAAAAAATCAGAAGCAAAGCCGTGTCAGCAGCTGCATTTAGATTAGTGACACTGAAATTCTGATTAAACACTGTTTGTACAAGGCTAGAGCTATTTATAGCCAAACTGCTCTGGTCCTCCATACCAAGCAAGTCCCAGCTGGACTTTATCTGTACTTCAGAAGCCAAAGCTTCCCTCCCTTGCACAGAATTACATTACTGATATTCTCCCATTCAAAACATTTTCCAATCTCTGCTGCTTGCTGCTTTTTTTTTTTTTGCTTAAATTAAAATTATTACCTTCCATCTACTGTAGTTTACCCCAAGAGTTATGCTTAGGGAAATCAGCTGAAACCACAACACATGAACTTGGAAGTAACAGCCATTTGCTGATGGCTGAAGAGCTTCACTTCATAAGAGATTTTCATGAAATAGCATATTCAGGACTGATGCAGAAATAAAATACTTCAGCTTATTCCCATCACTGAGGCCCAATTTTCTTTTTTCTTTTAATAGGTATCCAATTGTTATGCTGCAAGTGAAAAAAAACCACCACCTCCCAAAGATGAGTTAGCAAGTGACTTCCAGCCACACTATGAAAAGCAGCCAGCTGACTCTATCTGACCAACCTGTTTGATTTTCAGTATCTCCCTCTCTGTTTCTCAGGGCATTACCTTGCTACCTACATACATCACCATAACAAAATCAGACGTGCCATAAACCTAGAAGTGACAACAGCAGATACACCAATGCTACTTCAATGTCTCTTGGTAAATCTTCCAATACAGCAATTAGCATTGCTTTAGAAGCGTTCAGTATTTCATGCTTTAATTATGCTAGTAGCAGCAGTTACCTGGAATACTGGTGGTTCTGGTAGCTGAAGTAACGGCAGTTGTAGGTAGAGGAGCGTGTGTAGTCACGTTGGTGACGTTAGCTGTTTGAGAGAAGACAGTATGCACATACCATAAACTGCCAGAGCAGTACGCAAGCTCTGAAGTTCTTACGTAAGTGATTTGTCTTGTTTTGCTTCAACAACGATAAGCCTTGACCTCAGACTGTATCCCACACAATTTACATATTCAGCTGTGTGGCATTAAGCCAAGTTTCTGCAATGAAGACTGATTTATTTTTCAAGCTTGCCTACAGTCATTAGCCAAATACTTTACTTCAAGGTTCTCCATAGATCAGACAGCGATTCCTCATTCAGACAAACCCACTTTTCTTTCTTTCTGTTATCAAGCCAGAACACTGGGTCTCTGAGCATTCTCCCCTCCTCCCCCACCCCAGATTAGTATTACTAAAAATTAATCACTATTTTACTATGTGCCTGGGACAAGTACTAACAGTTGTAGGTTTTCTCAAAGCTAAATGTCACTCTACCACAGGAGGCTCTTCTGAGCCCGATCAAGTACCAACTCATTACCTCACAGCTTCCTTAAGCAGCAGATGCTTTTAGAGATGAGATTCTTCTTTTTTAATATGAGATTTTTGGTTTGTTTTGTGGTTGGTTGGTTTTTTGGGGGGCTTTTTGGGTTTGGGGGGGGGGGAAGAAGGGCCGTTTGTTTTTTTTGCCCCTTTTTTTTTTTTTTAAGAACATCACTGTTAAGATAGCAGCATGTGTAATTTTTGAATTGGGCAACAAAAAAAAATCAACTTTGTAATAACTCATGATTAATGGAAATGGCTAATCTAATTCAAACAATGAATCAATTCTTAATTATATTGGAAAGAAGCATTTCCTCTGTTACAAGTTTTATAAAATCCACTTCTTCCAAACCTTGGGAACATTTATGTATTCCATACATTAGATGTTTAGTAGTCATGCTACTACACTGATCTGTGGAAAAAACCAACCCTGTCCTTTATTTTATTCACCAGTTCCTAGTTTATTGCCATTCTGTGTCCAGGGGTGCCATATTACCTATAGCAGTGTGAGCTGTGGTAGGAGAACTGGCTGTGGTAGTATTGGAAGACGCTGTGGAAGGCGGTGCAGTAGCACTGGAAGGCAGTATAGTACCACTGGAAGTTGTTGTAGTAACATTGGAAAGAGGAACAACTGTAGGAGATATGAAAGAAAAAAAGAGTTACTTGATTACTGTGGTTAATCTCCTTAATGTAAGAAACCTCCATCCCAAAATGCAACCACTTTCAGGGAATTCATACAGCACCGAGTTCTATCGTAGCTTTGAACTGAAAGTCCAAAGCAGTTGGAAGTCCAGTGCGCCACACTAACAGCACAAGTTGCACGAGTGGATACCTGAAAAGCCTTGCCACGGGCAGCCCAATCAAGCCAGTGTTCAACGGGCAACCCAAGATTCCTCACAGCAAGCAGAAGGGAGGCCTACTGTACACACTCTGCACAGTAGGGAACTAGGTATCCAGTACTGCCTCCCAACCCCACTGCAACAAAAACTGAACCTGATCTACCAAGTTCAAATAGAAACCAGAGTGGTTAGACAGCTAAAGCAGTATGGGGAGGAAAACCAAGACATCCTCAAGAATGTGAAAGTTTAGCTAAAAGTTTCTGCTCTGAGAGCTGCTGTAGGTGCTCTCAGCTTCAGCTTGTGCTGTAAAAAAAAAAGCCACTGTGCAGCTTTCTGCAGCTTACTGTGTTAACAGAGTTCATCACACACAGACAGCTTATCTGAACTGTTGGTTGGTCATACACTGACACATCAGAA